AGATGGCTGGCATTTTAGATCTGTGGCGTACTTCGAAATCACTTCTACCAAAATGTTGGGTTTTCCTTTACACTCGAAAGAGGTATTCACAATTTTATTTTTTAGAGTGTAATGCATACACAAATTTTAAGTGTAAATTTAGAACTTAGTTCTAACACATATCCTTAACTAGCACATTTATAGTTTTACCCATTGTAAAATAAAGGAAAATTTTGAGTGCAAATTAGTGATTTTGGCCTGAAATTTCAGAATGTGACCTTTCCAAGGTAAAGAAGGGGACTGGAGTCTGATGTTCAGCATTTTGACTCTGCAGAAGAGGTTTTTTTCTTGCAAGTAGCCATGAGAGTAGGAAGTTAGAAGGCAGAGCCAGGAGGTCAGACTTAAGAGTCAAGGAAGTATGAATGACATCATCATCCCTAAGTACCCTCTCAGAAGATGAATGAGCTCTCTCTTGTATTACAATGCTAAAGAGCATTAGAAGGTGATATGATATCTAGACAACACATAAGATAAATGCCTCAGAGTATGCTAGAACAGCTTCCCCCCCACGCCCTCCACAAGTACATAAATCCTTTGGTGGTCTCAGTAATACAATATGTGGCTGATGAGCATTGTATATTGTGGTCAGCTTCTTCTTGACAAAATAAATTTAAATTTAACAAGTACCTTGAACTTTATCTAATTTAGTTGCTTAAGCTGAATAACCCAGTGTAATGCTAGATACCCTTTATGTGACTAGACTCACATCCCTTTTAGGACATAGCGTGGATTTTTTCACTAGTTGCTGAGTAAAAAGTAAGCAGATGTCAACAGAAGTAATACCCCATGTTTTTCAAAGCTGGCACAAAATGTGTTTATCATGACAAAAATTGACACAAAATGTTTTTGTCGTGATAAAACTTGAAATGCAAGTTTCATGATCTTAATGAATTTCTTCTGAAAGGAATGCGTGCCACAAACAAAACATGCAAAGTTTTGTACCTGTTTCAAGGTATATTCTGTCAGAAGTGGATTCAGGCTGAATTTCACCCTTTGTGCTTCAAAAGCACAGTCATTCCGGTATGATTTATATAATCTTTCCAACAGTAATTTTGGAATATGCAAGGTTGCAGCAGACTTCACTACTCAGCCTCCTTTTTCGCTTATGTAAACATATCTTAGTATTTTCAGGAGGAAAATTTGATTAAAATATTTAATTACATTCCTGTTTCAAAAATTTAAAAAGTTAAAATCAGCTTCAGCTTGGAATAAAAATGGGCTCTGGATCTGTGGTGTGTAGCTGCATGGAGGGCAGAGTTCTCATGCATCATATTTAATCACTGAAGTAATCTTTCCTCTTTTAAATATTTGCCTAATTGTTATTTTTAATAGAAATAAAATGGTGCTCTTTTGAAATAAAATGCAAGACAAGACGACCCTCACTTTAGTTCTAACTGAATGCTGCAAAGTCCTTTATTCTAAACCAAAAGCTGTCAGACTTCTAGCATTAATAGAAGAGTGGATCTTTCTTGACAAATGCCCCCATAAATTAGATATTAGCTTTAGTCAAACTCTGTCTCTCTCAGGAAATATTTCCACTTACATATTCAATTGGAAGGACCTTACATGATGCCCACTTACTGCTATGAAAATCTAGGCTTCTGAGATGAAGGCAAAGAAAAATTTCTGTGAACAAAAGAGTATCTGGAATAACAGACCTTGAGCTTATGCAGAGATCTGTTTTTATAGAATGTGAGTTTTACTCACTTTTTGATATGTGTCTGCTGCTCTGTCCACTTGTCTATCTGTTTATCGCCATTGCAGTGGTAACATACAGTATCAATTGGATTTTAAAAGACATAGATCTTTTATATTAGCTGTCCTTTTTTATAATACCTTTTACAAATTTAATCAATGCATTTTAATATACAATATAGTTTAAGTGCAATATACAATAAATATTCAAGCTTCATCTTAAACATGCTCTAGCCTTTAAATTGTTAAAACTGCAGTGCCCTTTCAATCTACTTACATAATGTCATAAAATATACATTTCAAGGTAAATGAAGTCAGCTACTTCAATTTAGTCCCTCAAACTGGTAGTAAATGAGAGGTTAACACTATGGTGCCAAACCCATTATTGAGTAAATTTAGCACCTTGGACAGCTCTGTAAAATCTTTATTGCTTTCCTGACCTGCTCGTCATGTTCTGTCTGTGTGTTCAGTGGCTCTCAGCTCTGATTGAAAGGCAATATATTAGATCCCGAACACAAACATGCTCGGGGGCTGCTTCACTGTGAGCGTAATGACATGGAGGTGAGAACAATTTTCTGGTCACCGCAATCCAAGCACCTTGCAAGGTCTGTTGCTCTAACTTATAGAGGACTTTTGGGGCTCCTTTGTATGTGGAGTTGGAACAGTCGCTTCTATGGCAATTTAAGCAGAGCTGCAAAGGGTTTAAGATGCATTCAGAAAACAAGAAGTTAATAACTTGAGCGTGGCTGTAGTAGCATTTTATTGTGTATTTTTAAAGCTAGTTTGTCTGTAAGATCTACCGTCAGCTCTGGAATAGAAGATACCACTATTTCACACAGGAGTTTTTGTGTAACATCTACTTTGTGTGATCTGAAAATGTCATAAACAAGAAATGCTTTTCTTGTGTGAAAAGAGTATTAGAGAAAGTATGAAACTCGAATATACAGACTCTGAAAATGCTGAAAAAAATATAACCATTGACTAGCTAGTAAAATTGAATGCTGCTTATCAAGCATATTTCAATGAACCATAATGACAATTAGTTTTATTTACATGCAATACGATATGGCATCAAAGAGCTTCGAAAGTTTAAGAACTGGATTATATTTGATATTAGGTAGAGCGGCTGTAAGATTCCATGTAATTACCTCATTTTTTAACATGATATTCAATCTCTTTTTAGATGTATTTCAAGGTTTTTAGCTCAGCATTACATAAATAACTATGATTAGTCAGGTAGAGCAGAAATGACTATTTAAACTTTTTTTTTTTTAGTAATTTGGCATAATGACAGCTTAGGTTAACAATATTCCAAAGCAGTTTGTGGGCTCTGTATCACATTCTAATTTTGTATCAGTGAAATATATAAAGCAAACAATTTCTACTGAAGTGAAATAAATCATGGTTTGCAAAGTCAAACACCTGTGCAGTAATTTTCCACCTAAAATCATGCATTGAAAAAGATAACATTTTTCAGTAACATCTCTATTCTTCTCTGGTTTGTGTCTTCAGTATCAGACAAAAAGGGCAACTCAGTGTTCTGATGATTCTGGTAAAAGAACAGGAATTGATTGTACCTGGATGTTATTTGTAGTTGGTCTGTCCATGATTATACTGCTAACTGTTGTGGTCAAGCTATACAAAAAAAAAAAAACAAAAACCCAAAACAAAAACCACAACAGAAAGAAAAAAGCAAAACAGAACAAAACAAAACAGAAAAAAGGTTGTAGCAGCTTAACTCCTCAGAATCTGTTTCAGATATAGTGATTTAAAAATAAATCAATTGTATATTACACCTCACTTCACATGTGGAAAATAATTTAAATGTGTATTCTGAGAGGGGTGTGTGCAGCAGAAGGCAAACCTAAATGTTTACTGGAAGTACAAAAATCCTCCATCTCATTTTTGAATTTAGGACATTATATATGTCATAAGTAGTTACTGCAGTATGACAACTATTTTATCTTATATTATAGAGAATTTAAAATTGAAAAAAAATGCTAATATGCATCTAAAAGCTTGTCATTTGAAGAGTTGTTCAAGGATTTTTGAAGAGGTTATGGTGACAGCAAAATGAACGTAATTATATCTCTATTTTCTGATCAGAGTCTACAGTATACGAAAATTGAGCATTACTGTTTCTTTTTGGTGTAAAATATGGCTATTGTGTAAAATATTTTAAGTTTAAAAGTTTAACTTTGTAGGAAACTGTAAAATCCTTAGAACTGGTACTATTTTTATAAGCTACCTGCAGAAATATACCATGGTGAATAGCGTTGTGTTAGTCTATTAGAGCAATACTTAGGGTCTGGGAATTACAAAAATATATTGTTTTACTCGAAGGACAGTCTCAACTGGTTTTGGTCAGGCAATTGGGAATCTACTAGATGCTTTGAAAGAATAAGAAAAAAATTTCTTCTGGGTTAATTCTGCAGTGCATTTGTACATTTTCAATCAGGATTGTTCATAGAGATTTTTCCACACTGTAAAATGTTAAGAGCACAGGAAATGCTGTTATTACTTGAATGCTGGTTTAAAATACTCTTAAGAAATATTAAGTCAAGAGCAACAAATAGGAAAATGGAGAAAAGAAAATTTGCCCAAAATGGAGAACTGAATCCCAGACTGCTTTAAATTTTGCTGTCCGTGCAGAGAGTTTTTCCAGGAAACACAGCACCATACTGGGCTATTCTCTCACAATGCATGTGTTTTCCTCTTGTGCATCATTTTATGTATGTGGATCCTGCTCTGACCCATCATATCAGGATACAAACCAAAGTTGAAAGGTTACATTACCAGTAGCATAGAACTGATTGGATGTCTTTTGAATGTGGCCTTCTGGGTAGGTCACAATTCCTGCAGTATGCAATTAAGAATAAAATAAACACATTGAAGGGATTCATAACATGCTCTGAATGACATTGATTGCAGTAATCTAGTAAATGACCTCAGGATCATATTCTGCAATAAACCAATGAGTGGTTTATAGTGCAGATGGTAGAGACAATTGAGTGATGTATTTTATTTTGCAGCATCAATGATTCTCACCTTTTGACTTGATTAAGCGTGTGTGTGAATAGGATGAACTAGTGATTTAACACCATTCCAAGTGTTGAGTTGCTGAGTAGTTGTTACAATTAAGGTGTACCTGGTGGGAGCTAAAAAAACCAAACACAAAACTAAGAGTATAAAAGATTGTAATATTTGTTTTCCCCCACAAGGAGTTTATTGAACTCAGAGGAATGCATCTGTTTTTATATTGACAGGAAGTAATACTTAAGAGGGCTGCTGATTTAGTAGAAGCACTCTATGGTATGCCACATAATAACCAGGTAAATGCATTCTACTTCACCAATTCTAAAACATGGCTGTTTCTTAGGTGTGTAGATAGATTAGGGGCTAAAGGTATAAGATACTACAGTGTGAGACAAGAATAAATATAGAGGGCAATGTCATATCTGGAGTGGGGTTTAGTTTGCCTGTTTTCTTTTTTAAAGGGTGTGAATTTAGTGCTTGTAAAAGCAACAGGTTATTAACCCTGGAGGCATTTGCCCACTTTCACCAGATACTATATAATATGAGCAATGATATGCATTATGTCTTGCCACCAGTGATTTTTCAGTCTTACCCTAAAGATAGCTTTAAGGTGGAGTAAGTCTAGGCTCCAGCCCTCTTCTGCCAGTTGATCTTGTAATACAGAAGCGTGGCCGCTGGGATTGAAACTTCCAACTCCGTTACCACAGATGTCAGGATTTATCACAAAGGCAGCAGATCTTATAAGCATTAGCTATCAGTCAGCCAACTGGTTTGGAAAGAAAAGCATCTAGTTTTTGCCTTTGGACAGGGAAATGTTTCATTTTAGTGTGTTACAAAAGGTTTGTCAGTGTCACATTGGTAACCCTGATTCTTTTTTTCCCTTTCTTATCCTCTAGGAAATAATTCTGAAAAGAGCGGCAGACATCGCAGAAGCCCTCTACAGTGTCCCCCGCAATCACAACCAGCTCCCCACCCTTGCTAACACGTCAGTCCATGCAGGAATGATGGGAGTGAATTCCTTTAGTGGTCAACTAGCTGTCAATGTTTCTGAAGCCTCACAAGCCACCAATCAGGGTCAGGAGAAGACTCGTCTTCCTCTCTCTATGAACCTTTTCTGATAAAAGTCAGGGAAATGTGCAGAGCAGTGACAGAGTGATGGTTCAGAAATGAAGGCTAGGAGCATGTCTAGACAGACACCATCCCACACGCATGCGCAACGTTTCAGTGATGCAATACTGTGATGAGATGGGGCTTTCTTTAGTGACTTTTGCCCCAATTTAGGAAAAGCACTCTGCATAATCTCTAAATAGCTTTTCCTTCTGCTCAGAATAACACTTGTATATGTTATTAAATCCCACTAATTTTAAAAGGATTTCTATTGACTTGAGCATGTACTTAATGTTAAGTACTTGCTTGGATATTTTCCTAAGCATGGATGGTCTATCAGTCTGGGCTCTACGTAGCATTTCTGTATAACACAAAAGAACTCCTTGAATATTTGTCTGTTTATTTTGGTTTTGCAAGAGACATAATATTGGCACTGATATTTTTTCTGAGTTTGAGACTTTCCTAAATTTTGAAACTAGCAAAACCCAGAAATGTTTACCAAGACATTTTCAGAGCTTCTCTAATTTTCAAATTAAAGTGTTTTTCACTTTGTATAAAATCAATATGTTTTAATTCCTACAGCTAAAAAAAAAAAAAAACCAAACATGTGAAGGATGTTTTTTTAAAAGCCCTTTGCATTTTCCCTTCTCCTTTGCTCAGATGTATTTATTATGCCACCTAAAAATCCACTTCAGTGAGAAAGTATTAATGAGGCTGTTTTCTAGAAGGGCAGACAAAATTATTTTGCACTACACTAAAAAAAATAGAATGATTTTTACCTGAAAGTATTTTATGGATGTACTGTGTGGTAGGAGAAAAGTTGACATTTTTTTCTTCAAAGACTGAAGATGGATTTTTGTATTTCTGTGCTTCTAGAAACAAATCTTCCTTTTTGGAGATTTGGATATGAGTTTCCCCAAACGGCATTTCCAGAATTAGGTAGAGATTCAAATTTTAACTTGGTGCCAAATTTGATAGTCGTTTTCTACCAATATAATGATCACAGCATGGCAAAAAGGATATCCCACTATTCTGAGAAATATACCTACATTTTCTGAAGTGTGCAGCGAGCATCTAATTTGAGATGCATTAGATGAAAGCAACATCAGAAGAGAGTTATCAAAACTCACATGCTTTTAACATACCTTAAGTCGGTATGTACTCCTCACTTTGAAAATGTAGGTCATGTTTACTCCATTTCCTACAAACAGCTCTTTTAGAGTGAGTGTTCCTGTAATACCTGATGGTAATCTTTGCTTGAGGGCATGGGCTGCCTGAGGAGCTGTGAAGGCTGTAGCCTCCCTCCTCCCACTTGTGGGCCCAGCAGCAATGACCTAGGCAGTGAGGGTTCCCAGTCTGCGTTACCTGGTGATATTGGTGGTGAGTCCTGGCCCTCCCCGTGCACACCATGGCTGGACTAGGCTGCTGGCTTGGTAGCCCTGAGTTACTTGCTTGTAGCTGTTTGTATAAGAAACTGTTCTCGGGCTAATACCAATTTCTAAATGTATTCCCTCCCCACAAAAGGTTTTACTCGCAACTCAAGCAGCGTGTCACCTCATGGCTATGTGCCAAGCACCACCCCTCAGCAGACAAATTATAACTCTGTCACAACAAGCATGAATGGCTATGGGAATGCTGGAATGTCAAATTTAGGCGGTTCTCCAACCTTCCTGAATGGATCTGCTGCCAATTCTCCCTATGCCAGTGAGTATTACATGGCTTTTTTGTAATTTGCACGTTTTCATTAGAAGGAGATAGTGACTTTTCTGTGATAGTATTTGGTTTCTGTTTTGAGCACTTGAAGCAGAGCTTGGTCCTTTCTCTCCACTTCAATGCACTGACCTTTGAAGCACTTTGAAGACATTAGTGTTGCCAGAAATTATTGTATCTGGTGGTGGTTATATTATTATTATTATTATTATTATTATTATTATTATTATTATTGAGTCCCATAAGAGCTTAAAAAGAGTAATGTCTCTCATTATTTTGGCTGATAGTTTTGTAACTTACCTTGTACTCTGTAAATAAGAAACGCTGTCCTCAACATTGCTAGAAAGCAGGGATGGTGTAAGTGACTTTGTGTCCGTTGGAGTGGATCAAAAGACAGTTGTCAGTACACAACTTTGTGTTGCAGTGGGTGTGAAAGGAAGCTAAGGATATTTGCTGCAGGAAAAATTATTTTTTCCAGCTGTAAGATTTGAAGGGCAGAAAAGTTTACTGTAATAAGACTGACATTTCCATAAGCTGCATGATGATGTTTCCAAGACCTCTGAGCAAATAATATGTTCATAACCTTTATAGAAATTATGAATTAGTGTTGAGCCTAATCTTGATTGCTTGTACTGCATTTGCTTTGTAAGTAGCTATTATATTGACTTCACTGAGGGCTTAGTATCAGTAAAATGTGACAATGGCTCTTAGAGTTTGTGTTTTAATGTCTGTACAGTGAATGTCACAAAGGTGTAAGTCATATAAATCATATATTCCATGGCATAAAGAGCTTATGGTCTACAGTCACAGTTATGGAAATGTTTACGTGTAGAATTAACTTTCTGCATTTTGATATTAAAGGTTTAGTAACTTGTTTAAATATAAGTACATTTCTATTGATAAAGGCCTATGAACCTCTTCTGCAGCTGCTCACACAGCTCAGTAGACCCTATTCACGTGAATTAAATGAATAAGACCTGACCAGTTCCTCTGACATTACTCATGTGGCGTAAAGGATTCCACTGACATCTATAGAAAGCTGCTAGCAGAATCAGGCCAAAGGTCTTGTCATATGAATAGGTTTATAGGCGGAGACCCTAACATGGACAGGCCAAACTGGTGAACGTACCAAGGTTTACACAGCAAATCTTGAGTTTAGTGGTGTAACAGCAGTAATGAATTAATTGTAATTGCATTGCTAGAGTTCAGAATTAAAAAGGGCATAGTAACTCTGATTTAAAAAACTGCCTTCAAGGCTTCTTAGCTGCTGCAAATTTAGAAGAAAATATTTACCCACATAACTAGTACTTATAACCTGGGAATTGCTAACCAGTTATTATTTTTGTACTCTAATAATAATGTAAAATGTAATGTTACAAAGTGCCTTACTTATTAAGTTGAATTTACTGTCATAGAATATGCGCACTCTGAATTCATAATATAACGTGATTGATGAGACATCTCTTTTTGGAAGCAGATGCCAGTAATGTGTTTAAAATACTCTAGCAGTGTATTATTTCATATTTATGAACGAAGCCCTCTTTAGAATAGCGCTTCACTTCCCAGCCCTGATTCTCTATTCAAGTTATATTTTGGGAGGTTTTCTTGGTAGATCTGTCATTCTGCTAATGCCTAATCCATTGAATCAGAAAATGCTTCAATCATGACCTGAAAATTAAAAGGTGGCATTCTTAATTAAATCAATAAACTAATTGCTGTATAGTAGCAATTCAATTTAGGTGCTTTGATTGCTCTGCCTTAGCAAGTACTTCCAGACATAGAGTGACTTCAGACTAAGATTGTATCTGTCAGACTGTGAAACTTTGAACATTTAATTTCCATTAATTGATTTCCTCAGTGTTAACAAATATGATATCAGATTCTCAAATAAGAACTTAAATAGGGTGATTTTTATCTACACAAATGCAAATAAAATAATCATTCAAAGCCCAGATGATAGGAGGTTTACTCTATAATATGTAATTATTCATAGCCCCCTTGTGTATGTAAGCATTTTCTAAATAGGACAAAGAATGAAAGTGTGGGATGTTACTATTGGCCCTTTCCTTTCCTTTTTTTTCCTTTTTTTTTTTTTTTTTTGGATAGAAGGGGAAGCTTGCAAAGCTGTCTGAATATAAAAGGTAGTTGGTTTTATTTTCATGAAAACAAATTCACTTAAAACCTCAAAGATAAATACATGAACCAAAGGTATTTATCCCACTGTATAGTAAAATAACAATTTAAGGGTATATGTATTTAAAAACTGAACCTCCTTTATAGAAGGTTTGCATTTTGGACAATCAGGTCAGTCCCTAAAAAAAGGAGAGCCTTATGTCTACACTTATTTAGAAAAACTGAAGACTCTCATTTTATTCAGTCTTCTATTTAAAGCTAGATCTTCATTTGATGTCTCCCAGAATGGCTTCATTACTTAGCTATTCCAGCTGAGATTCCAGTCGATGGCTCTGAATGAGAATGTTATATTGACTGTATTCAGATGGTGGTCATAGATTCTTTGGGAGAATTATTTGTCTTGACCATTATAAAACAGACTTTCATTTTCAAAATTCCCCATCTCAAGCGAGATATGAAATGCCAGCTCCATTCCTGTACATAAACAAAAGACTCACATGAGAAATATGGCTGGTTTTCATGTCACTGAGAACTCCTGGGAAGTCCCCACAACAGAAGCTTTCCAAAAGCAGAAGCTGGAGACTGACTATCAAGCATCAGCTAGTAGTTATAGCACAGAAAGCATCTGTGGCCATTGTGAGAAAGGTTTAGTGGTTTCTCCCATTGGGAGATAAAGAAAAGCGTGATTTCCATCAGCTAGCCATACATTTTTAATGCAACAGACACTGAAAACACTAGTGCCAGGAGACCTGCTCTGGGTGAACCTGCTTTAGCAGAGGGGTTGGACAAGATCATCACCAGAGGTCCCTTCCAGCCCCTACTGTTCTGTGATTCTGTGAGACCAAAGGAGTGAAAAACTGTCAGAGCAGCCATCTCACCGGTTGCTTCATGCTGGACAGCTTTCATGTATATATGTGTGAATGTGTGTATATATATATAGTCACAGCTCTTGGAATTACTCCTCTTAAACCCTAGTTCTTGCAGCGTTTAAGAGAGGAAAGAAATCCAGCCATTTTTGCTGGCTTTTGACAGGCAAGTTGACTAGGTCACCACTAAGACCTCTCTACCTTCTGCTTGAAACCCTGTTTCTGGAGCCATCTTGCTACAAGGAGAGCATGGCTTAAAATGCTTATTTTGGAGGCCGGTTAAAAACTCAAACATTTTCAAGTTAAAAATTCTGGATCTAGATTTGTACTTTAGCCACTCTCCTTGCTCATCAGTTTTGTAACCCCCCGAGTTACCTACATAGTTTGGATTCCCTCTTACGCACCTACACAAAAACATTACAAATTCGGACCAGGGGAGTGGCTAATGCCAATCACTAGAAAAGTTTGACACAGGATGTCAGGACAGGTTTGTTGTAATGATAAAGAGTTGCAGTGACAGAGAATTAAGGCAGTGTTTAAGAGCTCCTAGAATTACTGCTCCTGAACACCCAGAACACAAAACAGCAAGTGGCTTTCCTGTAGTGATTGATCACACTTTGTGAACAGCCAGAAATCTAACTGCAGTAAAGGCCTTGGCCATTTGAAATTAGACCCAGTGCATCCAAGAAGCAGAATTCTCCTGTTTCTTCAGCCTGCTGATTATCTAATACTAAGGAATGCATTTTGTTTTGTTTTTTTTTCCTCTAGTTGTGCCATCAAGTCCAACAATGGCCTCCTCCACTAGCCTCCCCTCCAACTGTAGCAGTTCCTCCGGTATTTTCTCCTTCTCACCAGCCAACATGGTCTCAGCGGTGAAACAGAAGAGTGCTTTTGCGCCTGTTGTGAGACCACAAACTTCTCCTCCTCCCACCTGCACCAGCACCAATGGCAACAGCCTGCAAGGTAGGTGAAACCAAGTCTGGAGCGTAGATGGCTGCTCACAAAACTGTGAATTCCCGGTGCCTTGCGAGGCTCTAAGCGACACTGAGTTGTCAAAGGGGATAGAAGACAATGGGGGATCCCTGGTGGTCTCTGTCCTAAAGTTTCCTCCTGTAAAGAGTAACTGGACTCCACCACCAGCCCACCTAGTACCATGCAGATGTTTGGCAACCACCCTATCTCTAACTTGGCTAATACTGCTGAATTGAGAGGCTGTGTCTTTTAAAGCACAGACCTACTGTTATGATAAAAACGAGTAATATTTCAGCTTACTAATACCATCCTTTTTCTTTCTTTCCTTTCTTATTCCCTGTTGTCGTCCTTTATCAGACCAGTCTTTTGTGGACTCTAGCAAGTACTCCACTGCAGGGTCTCTCCAGGGGCTGGCCTTCTCCTGAAGTACGTCACTCAATCTTCCCTTCCTTTTTTTCCTTTATCATAGTACACTTGTGCAGAAATCCTACTGAGAGCAAATAGACTGTTACAGAGCTTGGCACAAACCTTTGCCTTTCATAAATAGGAGGCACATTACAAACTCACAGCAGCATTTTCCAGTTTAACTCATACCAGGGAAAACATTAATTTCCACTGATTAATGTACTTCTGTGCCAATTAATTCCATAAATGGCACAGGGCCTTTCTGAGAACCTCTTCAACTTTTGGTATCAAGGGGCTGCTCCTTTTCTGCATCCCTTCCCCTCTCATTGCAAAGTATTGCAGCATTAGCACCTAAATACATTTTGAAGCATTGATGCAAGCTGAGGGAGTGACAGACAAAAGCTTGTCAAACTGAGGATGCTGCAAAGACCAGCACTGCCCATTTCATTGTTTGGTTCAACCTGTTCTACAACACTGTGCTAAACCTTCCTGTGTAATTACCTCACGATGCAGTAGTTTGCCGAGAGAGACATTTTCATGCTTGCTTAGACTGAGGAGTTTCCATAAGCAGATGCAGCCAGCTGCCTCCAACTGTGCCAGAGGTGGGAAAGGTACTGCCGTATGCGTTGTGCTTCCCTCAGACCTGAGGTCTGTTTTGCTTTCCACGTGCCTGTGCAAATTGTCCAAAGAGCATCGAGCAGGGACTAAAAGCTGTCATTTTTAAAGCTGTGTTCAGAAGGAGCTGTGCAGAGCAGGGGGAGCATAGTTCTGCAGACTCCACATATCACTACAGCCTCTGGAAAGAGAAACGCTAGGCTTGTGGGCATGATGCTGATAGCGCCATTAACAGCCAAAAAAATCTATATGCAGGCAGAGTGGAAGGAATTCATTCATAAAAGCTGGGATCTATTGTGACTGAAGGAAAGCATTGTCCTCAGTGCGTTTTGCACAGGTGAATTGTAAGGAGGAATCCTTGCAGATGTACGCACATGCACACAGAAATTGTGAAAATATTAGAAAGGTATAAGCAGAACTTGGGTACCCCTGGTCAGGTTTTTGTTATAAATACAGACTGCATCAGGAATAAAACACAACAACATTTTCAGATGAGCTGTAGTGTTTAGGAGATTAATTTTTGCATGTTTAAAAAATTAGGCACTGCCGACATGCTACAAATTTTAACGGCAAGAGCTGAAAATGTTTCACCTCTGAATAAAAAAAAACACAAGAGGTAAGAGTTGACTGCTAGAAGCTTTTGAGCATGTTGATGTTATTTCTTCTCTTCACCTTGTCCCAACTTGCTGTTGTGGGTGGAGAGAAAAAGCGAGTAACAGGAAAAAGCTTTTTCAGGCGCTGTTTTTCCTTTCACAAGACACGGAATTCTCAGATTCCACATACTTGGTTATGAAAAGCAATTATGGAATGAGCTGTGAGCACTGGGAACAACTGGGGCTTGCTGATTGCCTCCTCATTGTGTCATATCCAGGTCTGTAATGCCCGGAAACCACACAGATCTGAGTGTTCCCTAATTTTTATTTAGCAATTCAATTTTCATAATAACAATGAGACACCAAGAGATGGTTCATTTCTAGGTTGTCACTGAACTTTTTGGTGAGTTAAAGACACAAAGCGTTTGGTCCCATGCCTTCTGATACCACCTGAGGCTTGTAATAATCACTCAGAAATGCACTGCCTGTTGTGCCTTACTGCTTAAATAAACAACCATGTATAAGGAGGCTGTCTTATCTCTCTTGGGCTTCTGGATACATCAGAAAGCAATCAAGCTTTTCTTATGTAGCTTAGATATCAGCAGAACTAACTGAAACAACAGCTAGGCTTATCTGTTATTCTCTTTGCCATGCAATTTTGTAAAACTCAAAATATGTTATTTCTGTAATTTACTAGCAGCAAATACAAATTAGTATGTAAGAGAAAAAAATAATGCTCATTGGTGGGAGTTTTTCTACTCTCTGCCCTCCCTTTTTGGAGGTGTTATGATCTCATACATACACTGTTTCACACTGATATATCTGTTTTCAGGATCAATAACATGCTACAACCGAGAGAATTTGCATGACTAGATGTAGCACTTACGGAATAAAAGTAGAGTGATATAAATGAAGACTCAGAAAGAATGGAAATATCAAAGCTTTTAGGCAGAAAAGATATCATTTGCCATTTGCCTTGTAATTTAATTCAGAATTTCAGAGCTCTTCAAAAACGATAATGCTTTGAAAAAAATGAGCTAAGATCTGCATCTGAACCATTTGTTTCCAATGGCAAAAGGTGCATGGCTGATATGTAACTACAGGGAAATGTCTAAGCCATGAAGGGAGGAGCTGCAGTTATGTCACCTTTGTTTGGGCTTTTACCCAGGGTAGACAGCTATGCTGTCCCAAGAGAGAAACAATTCTTGACCACTTTTTGGTGGAAACTGATTCGGTTTTGATGAATCTTTTAGCTTGAGAATTTTTTGTTGGACTACTATTTTGACATTTTATGAAGTATAGGTAATTTTTCTAAAGCAAAACAACATCTTGTTTTAAAGTTTCACTAAATTTAGAATTTAGAAAGGGCTGCAAAGGACAAAAAAGGTTGAAGTAGTATGCACAGAGGATTAATTATCCATCTGACACTGCTCAGTTGCTCTCATCACATGTAGGAAGACTCTATTCATTCCCATCTGCTCAACTGCTTGCTTATCTGAGCAGTAAAGGAGGGAACACTGTTGTTAGTATTGCTTTGCTCTGCTCTTAATGTACAGCATTGATGTCCAAAGCACTGCAGTCCCACCACTGTATTCCACTAAACAACTGCCATCCAGAAATCTCCAAGTGCTTTACCAATAGGATAAAAATTGTTATCCTCAGGTGAGAAACAGAAACAAGTGAAATTGCTTGATGTAATACAATGAGCTAGGAGGAGAACTGGGACAAAAAGTGTGTCTCGGGTCCATGCCCACATGAGTTTTTCATATATTCAGATGCGGAAAATCACACTGTCACCCTTATCTGCAGGCTGTCGCCTTGTAGGGCTGCTACAACAGAATTACCTTCTGGTTGACTGTATCCATCGCTGCCAATACCTATTTTATTGATGCCATAGAGGTCTGTGGTTCAGGGTCCGTAGCTTGGCCCACATGTAAGGATCCCAAGAGCAGTGTAGGGAGCAACCACAACAGTGAGACCATTGCTTGGCTTGAGTTTGCTTCATTTTTCAGTCACATGTACCAAAGGGACAGCCCGGGTGTGAGTATTCAGAACTTGTTATTTGAGACAGCTGAAATAAAACCCTTTGAGAATTTTTTTAAACAAAGCTGCTGTTGTTTTACCCAGTGATGATTAAATCAGCAAGGATTCTAAAAAAAATGGCAATACCGAATTCATCCAGTGATTTGAGATGAAGGAGATGGCATAGCTATAGAGATAATATGAAAATGCAGCCTCAGAACATCTCCATAGTGCAGCCAAAAAAGCCCATGACAGGAAATACCTCAGCAAGGAACATCTAAGACACAGTTGTCTCCTCTATGCTACTCACTTGATTGTCTTCCTGTAGGGCTTAAAGCAACTTAACTCACCTCTCTATCCTTTTTATCCTCATTCTCCTTGAAGAGCTCTTACGTGGAGCTGAAACAATCAGTACAGTGATTCTACATAAAACCGTTGTTGAATGATAAATTCCAAGAATTAAAATGCTGCTGTATAGTTGCAACATGTCACCTCTGAGGATGGCCTCTTGCAAACATGTGGATGTGTTTTGCATTCTCGCCTTCTCTTCTCATTTTATTTCATTTAATCAGTGCAGTTTACTCGATCTGTTCTCCCCTTGCTGATTAGACTTGTAATTCTTGCACATATGGTGGTGTTTGTGGAGAAAACATTTCCCTCCTCTCCCCCTCCAACCCCATATCTGTGAGTCTTTTACTTTGGCTCTGTTCTTATCAAATAATTGCAGCTGTAATTAAAGCACAATGAATCAGCACCAGTCACAGGGTTGAGTTCTTCCTTAAGAAATTACATGTCCAGATGTCTGAGATGGCAGGCAGTTCTAGCATTTAAATAATGTGCCCATGAAGTGCCGCCAACCTGAAGGCAAATCCGTTTGCTACCTTTTGGCAAATAACTGTACAACTGGTATTTTAAAGATGCATTGTTTTTACTGTTTTAATCATAAACTTGCATGACTACCTCCTGTAACGATGCGCTTGCTCACAGTGTATCACTTGGTGTGTCTGATCTGCAGAGTCCCTGGTAAAGAGAGGGAGACTAAGCTGGGTGGAAGGCTGTACCTGTTGACTTTTACTGAAAGGCTCCTCTTTAAGAGAGGTGATGGTTTCATAGAAAATGTGGTTAGGAAGATAATAAAGAAATTCTGGTGATTCAACTTAGCCAACAAAGGAGAAGACATTGTAAATTAGCATTAACATACGACTTACTCAACGTAGTAGGTGAAGTCTGCTACAAGTGTAATAAAACCATGAGACACCAGTCTGCTAAACCATCAGTTAAGGACATATTTCAACTTGAAAACTGGATTTGAGACTTTCAGTCTTTATCTGAGCACCTGGAAATACATATATAAGTCCCAGGGTTGAACACTGAACTCGTAAGAGAAAACTGGCTTAGGAGGGTGAACGACTGTTGTGTGCCTAATGGAAGGAACACCCTATCAGGTCTGTAGTATTGGTGGCCTGTGGGACTCCAGCCGTTTTCTCATATGTGGAACAAGTATCTGCTTTACTTTTAAAAAAGTAATAGAGTATGTGGCAGTGGCTGGGTCAGGTTTAAGCCTCCTGAGTGTTTTGAGATTCTGAAACTAAAATCAGAAAATTAAATTGGGGTCTGAATCTGATGTCAGGGGAAGTGCACGAAAATCACAAATTTCAGCACTTACAGTTTAAACCACTTTCCAATCAGAATGAGGCTTCCTGTTAGTCCTTTGTTGTCTCTACTGGATGATAATTATATATAAATTTAATTCACAGTACAGCTAAGTACATTGCTAGTAAATGTTTGAAAGCTCTGAGTTTTTTAAAGGTCGCTTGATAATGCACAAAAGTAACTTTTTTCCCCCGCCCCTCTCTCTCTCTCTCCCTCCCCCCTACTCCCCTTTCCTTCTGACAGCTATATCTGGCATGATTGTTCCCCCCATGTGAAAGAATTGCCTTGAAGAATTTTATTAATGAAGAGGTTGAATTCTGCTTCAGAGAGAATCTGATACAAGTCCCAGAGTGGAACTTTTTACTCAGGCCTTTTTAAAAATAAAAAAGAAATAAAGAAGAATCTTACAATAACTGCGGATTTTTAAACAAAACAAAAATCACCATCCTTGCAAATATTGAAATTAACAATCTACAATTGCAAGGTGTTGATTCAAGTTGTCCATCCCAAATACCTGGGAGATATATTTATTGTATGTTGATAAAAAAAATCCACTTTTTTTTTTTTTTTTTTGCGGGGGTGGGGGCTTGCTTTTATTTCCTTCTGGGTTTTGTGGGTTTTTTTAAGGCTTGATTTAACTCAACACCATTTGTCTTTTATAAATCATGCAATTACACAAGGGACACTAGAGATGGAACTCCACATTTTTAATTTATGATTTATTTTTTTTTAAACTGTGTAAAGAAAAATGAAGTGGTGTCATTTACATACAAGTCTGTATGGGACAGAATAGAAGTGCCAGTTAGTTTTTCGTAGAAGAATTATGGCCATTTAATTAAGGGTCGGCTCATATAGGTTGCTTATCCAGTGGTGACTTGCTAATATGATGCATTTTTAATGTTATAATTAAATAGACATCACTCCCTAGAAAGCTGGTATTTTTGGATGATGAGGGTGGGATGAGGGGTGGAATTGGTAACCTCGAGCTTTAATATCAGTCTAAATAATTGTGTAAATAATGCAAAAAGAAAGTTGGTGAAGAGGAAGGTAAAGGATGCAAATAACAAACAGATTTTCCTCTTGAATTGAAAATCCAGTGCCTCGAGATATAATGCTAAAACTGCAGAATTAGATGAGCATGG